TCAGATCTCAGCCTCCTGAGTAGCTAGGATTACAGGCGTGAGCCACCAGCGCCCGGCAAATTTTTATGTATTTACTATTTGTGTTGATCTTGGGGCTTGAACTCACTACCTGGGTGCTGTCCCTGAAATTTTTGCATTACACTGCTTGAACCAGTGCTCCACCTTGACTCTTTGGTGATGAATTGGAATAAGAGTATCACAGCAGCTGGGAATGTGGCTCAGCGGTAGAGTGCTGACCTAGTATGGATGAAGCCCTGAGTTCAATTCCTCAGTACCACACAAATAGAAAAAGCCGGAAGTGGTGCTATGGCTAAAGTGGTAGATTGCTACCCTTGAGCAAAAGAAGCTCTGGAGCCAGGTGCTAGTGGTCAACACCTGTAAAATCCTAGCTACTGAAGATCATAGTTCAAATCCATCCCAGACAGGAAAGTCCATGAGACTCTTATCTCCAATTAACTACCAAAAAACCAGAAGTGGCGCTGTGGCTCAAGTGGTAGAGCGCTTGCCTTGAGCTGAAGAGCTAAGACACAGTGCCCAGGCCCAGAGTTCAAGCCCCAAGCCCAAGGACTGGAAGGAAAAAAAGGTCTCCTAGACTTTCTGCCGGGGCTGGCTTTGAACCATGGTCCTTAGATCTCAGCCTCCTGAGTAGTAGGATCATAGGTGAGTCACCAGCACCCAGCCAAAGGAACTTTAATCTTTAAAACCACAGCATAAGCTTAATGAAAAACACTACCTTTTATATATAAAGGTAGTATCTTGTTATTCTACCAGCATTGTGGACTTACCTGAAATAGCTCTGGGTCCCCTGAGCTAGACCCTGGTAAAGAGCCTGTGCCATTCAGTTGATGGTGGTAGTTTGCTTGCTTGTTTTTAAATACGTGTGTTTTGCTGGGCATCTGTAGCTCAACCTAGTCAGGGGACTGAGGTACAAGGGTTGCGATTTGAAGCCGTTCCAGGCAGGAAAGGCTGTAGAACTCTTCTTTCCAATAAACTACTCAAAGCCAGAAGTGGTAGTGTGTGGCTCAAGTGGTACAGCGCTAGCCTTGAGCAGAAAGTTCAGGAACAGAGCCCAGACCCAGAGTTTAATAAAACCCCAGGACAGCAAAAATAAAAATAAAGTGTTTTTTGTTTTGTTTTTGGCAGTCCTGAAAAAAAAACCAACATACTGTTTAGTTTTTATTTTATTTTTGCTGTCCTGGAGTTTGAACTCTGGGTGCTATTCCTGAGCTGCTTTTGCTCAAGGCTAGCGCTCTACTACTTGAGCCACAGAGCCACTTCTGGCTTTTTCTGTGTGTGGTACTGAGGAATTGAACCCAGGGCTTCATGCATGCTAGGCAAGCACTTTACCACTAAGCTACATTCCCAACCCCCCAAAGTGTTTTATAGAAATCTTCCTGCCCTCCATTTGTAAAGTGCTTACAGTTTACATGTTCTCTTGGTGCTCAAATTCATTTTTTCCTGAGATGGCTGAGGTTGGGTGTTGGGAATTATCTGTCTACTGAAACCAGCTCATGAACTTTCTGATAGACTCTTCTGCGTTTTCTATTACTTTCATGACATTAAGTCTTTCATTTAAAATCACATGTCTTTTGGCTGATTATTAAACTAGCTCTTAAAAAAAAAGAGCTAGGAAGTAAGAAACAAAGAAAAAATTGTGATTCACTATCCAGAGATCAAAGTATAAGCTGGTTATTTTCTTCTTTTGAATGTATACTTTGATTCTTTTTTTTGGGGGGGGGGTCCGGTTGTGGGGCCTGAACTCTGGGCCTGGGCGCTGTCCCTCAGCTCTTCAGCTCAAGGCTAGCACTTTACCACTTGAGCCACAGCGCCATTTCTGGCTTTTTTCTTTTTGCTTATGTGGTGCTGAGAAATCGAACCCAGTGCCTCATGCATTCAAGGCAAGCGCTCTACCACTGAACCACCTTCCCAGCCACACATACTTTGATTCTTTAGTGAATCACCTTATCCTGGGTGTGACCATTGAACTGGAAGGACAGATCTTCTTGGATCCTTGCTACATTTTCGTACACCATCAGTGATGGGGAGCTAGGGATGTTGGTACTAGCACTGAGCATGCAGCAGGTACTAACATTTACCAATGTTAGTGTTAATAGCCGAACCTTAAGTGTCTCTCTCTCCAGAAAAAGGTTAATTTGTCATAGGGACTGTAAGAATCCATCCTGGCTATCCCACGGGAGCCACGCAGAGGCAGACATGCACAGGAGAAAGGTTAGTATCAGAGGGCCGTATCTTTCCCGGAGAGGGAGCATTATAGCATCTGCTCCTGTCCAGGTGGTTGCTCAGGCTAGTGGTGAGGTAGGTGGAGAGTGAGGTGTGCAGAGTGGGAGTGGCCAGGGATCCTGGTGGGGACTGGAGGGCTGGGAGGAGCTGCCCCGAAGGATCTTGGGAGTGGCTGAGGGGAAGATGTATGTCAACGCTGGCAGTGAATAAAGTGTTGCCCATATTTTAAAGTAATTTGTTATCTATTTTAGTAAAGATGCAACCATTCAGAAAATGCACAGATAGGTGAATAACTTGGGAAATTTTCATAAACTCAGAAGTTCTCTTGTTTCTCCTCCTTGCCATTATGGTCTTCTGGGTAGTCAGTGTGCTATTTACTTATTTTTTCTTTTTATTTTATTTATTTTGGTTGGCTGTGGGGCTTGAACTCAAGGCCTAGGTGCTGTCCTTGAGCTCTTTTGCTCAAGACTAGCTTCTATTTGAGTCACAGCTCCACTTCAGGTTTTCGAGTGGTTAATTGTAAGAGTTAAGAGTCTCGGGCTGGGAAGGTGGCTCAGTGGTAGAGTGTTTGATGAGGCCCTGGGTTCGATTCCTCAGCACCACATAAGCAGAAAAAAGCTGTACGTGGAGCTATGGCTCAAGTGGTAGAGCGCTAGCCTTGAGTAGAAAAGCTCTGGGACAGCTCCCAGGCCCAGAGTTCAGCCACCACAACCAATAACAACAACAACAAAAAGAGTCTCACCTGGGCTTTTCTGCCCTGGTTGGCTTGGAACTATGATCCTCAGATCTCAGCCTCCTAAGTAGCTAGTATTATAGGCATGAGCTGTAATCCAGCCCAGTGAGCTAACTTTTAACAGTGCCTAATTTTGTTGAACTTGAGTAAAGGGAATCATATGCTGTGTATCCTTGTGTCTCTGGTATGGGTGGGGTGGGGGAGAGGGAGATTTTGCCCTAGGGATTGAATTCTGTGTCCAGGCTCTGTCCCTGAGCTTTTTTGCTCAAAACTAGTGCTCTACCACTTGCCCAGCTCTACTTCCTGCCTTTGGCAGTTAATTGGAGATAAGAATCTGACAGACTTTTCTGCTTGTGCTGGCTTGAACTACAGAGTAGCTGGGATTATAGTATGAGCCACTGGTGCCTGGCTTCGTACTTCTGAAGGAGCAGTGACAATATGTAATAAAGCTGTCTTGGCAAAAAGAGAAAGAACTAGTGGAGGCTTTTGTGCTATAGTTGATTGTTCTAGCCAGGACATGACATATCACTACTACATACAGCTCACTGGCCAGAGTGAGTCACACCACACAAGGTGTCCTGAGGTGTAATCTTATCAGTGGGCCCAGAGCTGAAATACTGAAGCACAATAGTGTCAGATATGGCTAGGAGTATGCTGGAGTATGGAATGATTATTGAAGGAAAAAGGTCTTTGGACTTTTTTTTTTTTTGGCTGGTCCAAGGGCTTGAACTCAGGGTCTGGGCCCTGAACTTCTTTTTTTTTTGGGGGGGTCCAGTCGCGGGGCCTGAACTCTGGGCCTGGGCACTGTCCCTCAGCTCTTCAGCTCAAGGCTAGCGCTCTACCACTTGAGCCACAGCGCCACTTCTGGCTTTTTTCTTTTTGCTTATGTGGTGCTGAGGAATCGAACCCAGGGCCTCAGGATTGCAAAGCAAGCGCTCTACCACTGAGCCACCTTCCCAGCCCTGGCCCTGAACTTCTTTTGCTCATGGCTAGTGCTCTACCACTTGAGCCACAGAACCATTTATGGCTTGTGTCTGTCTCTGTTTAGTTATTTATTTGTATTTAGTGGAGATAGGAGTCTCCTGCACTGTCCAGGCTGGCTTCAAACTGGGATCCCCAGATCTGAGCTTCTCTGAGTAACTAGGATTATAGGTGTGAGCCACCAGCACCCAGCTTCTCTTTCTTTTGTCCAGGACTCAAACTCAGTATCTGATGCTTTTGTTTTTGAGACAAGGTCTTTCTGTATTAGCCTAGGCTGGCCTTAAAATACTATAATTCTGACTCAGCCTCTGTGTTCGAACTATAGGCATGTGCCATTGTGTCTGCTCAAGAGCTTAGTCTTAGATATCATGTATATTGTCCTCTTTATTTTCTCTCTCTCTCTCTCTCTCTCTACCTACCTATCTACCTACCTACCATTTTACAGGTCTTGTGCAGAGAGTAGCTGTTCTTTTTTGTGTGAGTGTGTGAGGGGGTGTCCTGGGGCTAGAACTCTGGGCCTGGGCCCTGTCCCTCAACTCTGCATCTCAAGGATGGTGCTCTACCACTTGAGCCACAGTGCCACTTCCGGTTTTCTAGTGGTTTATTGAAGATAATAGTCTCACGGACTTTCCTGCCCGGGCTAGCTCTGAACTGTGACCCTTAGATCTCAGCCTCCTGAGTAGCTAGAATGACAGGTGTGAGCCACTGGCACCTGGCAAGTAGCAGTTCTTAATCTGAGGAATTCCTGGATTTGCTGGAGCAGCAGTACTTACCTTTAATTCTGTGTTCATACTGCTTTAAGTAATAGGTTGGAAAAAAAAGACCTTAGAGCTGGGCGTTGGTGGCTCACGCCTATAATCCTAGCTACTCAGGAGACAGATCTGAGGATCAAGGTTCAAAGCCAGCCCAGGCAAGGAAAGTCCATGAGACTCTTATCTCCAATAAACCACTAGAAAACTGGAAGTGGTGCTGTGGCTCAAGGAAGTGGCGCTGTGGCTCAAGCTGTTAGAGCGCTTGCCTTGAGCTGAAGAGCAGAGGGATAGCGCCCAAGCACAGAGTTCAAGCCCCACAACTGACAAAAAAAAAAAAAAAACGAAAAAAAGACCTTAGAAAGCAAATGTTGGACTTTAAATTATGTTCATAAAGTGTCTAACCAGTTCATGTTCTGTGTTCTCTGTTTTTTTCTTGCTGTATTATAACATACAGTCACTTCATCTGTAATCTAAATGGATTCTTTCCAGTTAACTGTTGTCTAATTTGAACATGTTAGGTGTTTTCTATCATTCCTGGTAGAGGATTCCTAATAGTGGATTCCACATGGATTTGTATACATAATATTAAAATATTTCTTTTCTGCTTTATTATTAATTTTGACACATAAAGTGGGGATTAATTTTCATACATAGAGTGGACTTTGGGGCTAGTTTTTATTTTCAGGGCTTTTGAATTGGAGAAAGCTTCTAGGTAGGGAGAGTACATTGTGTCAGCTCAGTCCTTCTGTCCTTGGGCTGGTTTTTGAAAGGTTACAAAGAGGTACTAATCATTTCTGCAAGATGTTGTGTAAAATCCCGTCTCCAGCCCCTCCTGCCCAGTGACTGTCTCTGGCTTGCAGTTCTAGGAGCCTGTGAGGTCAGCTGAGCCTGCAGAGCACCCAGCTTGTCGCCCCGTTTCTGACGAGAGGTGAGTCCAGTACTACTTGAGACGGAAGCGCGCGCATGGTTATGCCATTGCCAGCTCTGCCTGCACACCTCCCTCAGGTGGCGTGTGCACCTGTTCAAACACTACTTGTCAGAAACTGAGGAGTGAGGTGGTTCTTTGCCTCCCACCTCCCCAAGCTCTACTCCTGTGGATACTGGAGAAGGAGAAAAGGTGAAGTCGTAGCTCAGTGGGTGGCAGAGGGCTTGTCTAGCATGCATGATTCCTCAGTACCTCATACACAAAAAAAGCCGGAAATGGCTCTGTGGCTCAAGTGGTAGAGTGCTAGCCTTGAACAAAAGAAGCTCAGGGACAGTGCCCAGGCCCTGAGTTCAGGCCCCTGGACTGGGCAAAACAAAAAAAAAAGGTGAAGTCACCATGCAGGCTTCCTGGGACGTGCTATATGAGCGCTGTGCCAGGGAGAGGCCCAGAGACTCTGCCCTTGGGGAGGCTTTCTGACTGGCTGCGTGACACAGGAAGAGCCATCTACAAAAGAGAGTGAGGGTGTGTCAGTCGTGATGGGTAGTAGACTTGAAGACAGTGTGTTTGCTGTTATTATTGCTTGTAGCATGTTTTGTGACGCTAGGATTAAGCCCGGGACCTTAGACTTGTTAGGCCAGTATTCTACCACTAAACTACATCTCTAGACTTATGTGTGTCAATGAATACAAAATGGCATATTGAATCAGGTGCTGGTGATTCACGTCTGTAATCCCAGCTACTCAGGAGGCTGAGATCTGAGGATTGTGGTGCAAAGCCAGCCTGGGCAGGAAAGTCTGTGAGACTGAGCATCCTTCCTTCCTTCCTTTCCTTGGTCCTGGGGCTTAAACTCTGGGCCTGGGCGCTGTCTCTCAGCTCTTCAGCTCAAGGCTAATGCTCTACTATTTGAGCCACAGCACCACTTCTGGTTTTCTGGTGGTTTATTAGAGGTAAGAGTCTCACAGACTTTTCCTGCCCGGGTTGGCTTTGAACTGTGATCCTCAGATCTCAGTCTCCTGAGTAGCTAGGATTGCAGGTGTGAACCGCCTGGCTGTGAGACTCTTAATTTCCAATTAACCACTGAAAAACTGGAAGTAGAGCTGTGGCCCAAAGTGGTAGGGTACCAGCTTTGAGCAAAAAAGTTCAGGGACAGGACCCAAGCCTACGACTGACCCCCCAAAAAAAAATTTTTTTGATAGAACAAGAAATTTTGCAAAGAACTCTTTGTACCATCTCTGTTTATACCTACAAAAAGACAATTCTTGAGGGCTGATCAAAAATATTCTATAGGATACTTAATACAAGTGGGAATATGCCTTCTTTTGTACTAAAAATATACATCTGTAAACATTTATATGCATACACAGAATGTTTGCTGATGAGGTGAGTTGGTTTCATCTAAATAGTTATTTTGGATTGGGGTTGGACAGAGATCCCCCTCTTGATGTGGATTTTGTTGATCTGGAGGCACCTCCAGGAAAGGGGAGAAAGTTGGGTCTATAACCTTGCAGATAGGTTAATGCAACAGAACTTGGGAGCTAGGTAAGCAGTCATGTGATGGTGGTAGGCCATGAAAATAAGGAATTGGTAAAACCTGAGTGCAGTAAAAGAGCATGCTATACATTTTTACTCAGATGATTTTAAGTAGGGTGTGTGATTTTCAGGTGTGCTAGTATTTAATAGGAATCCAGCTAAGAACTACGATGTGGCTAAAAGTAAATGGTTTGTGGTACTCCATATTGGTCATGTTTCTTTTTTTGTTGGTCATGGGCTTGAACTCTGGGCCTGGGTCCTGTCCCTGAACTCTTCAGCTCTGCCACAGCGCCACTTCTGGTTTTCTGGTGATTTATTTTTTTATTTTTATTTTTTTTTGGGTCCCGTCATGGGGCCTGAACTCTGGGCCTGGGCACTGTCCCTCAGCTCTTCAGCTCAAGGCTAGCGCTCTACCACTTGAGTCACCACTTCCAGCTTTTTTCTTCTTTGCTTAGGTGGTGCTGAGGACTCAAACCTAGGCCTCATGCACTCAAGGCAAGTGCTCTACCACTGAGCCACCTTCCCAGCCCCTTCTGGTGGTTTATTGAAGATAAGAATCTCACAGACTTTACTGCTTGGGGCTGGCTTTGAACCCTGATCCTCGATCTCAGCCTTTTTTTTTTTTTTTTTTGTCAGTCATGGGGCTTGAACTCTGGGCCTGGGTGCTGTCCTTCAGCTCAAGGCGAGCTCTCTACCTTTTGAGCCACAGCGCCACTTCTGGTTTTCTAGTGGTTTATTGGAGATAAGAGTCTCACCGACTTTCCTTGCCCAGGCTGGCTTTGAACTGTGATCCTCATATCTCAGCCTCTCCTAAGTAGTTAGGATGATAGGCATGAGCCATCAGCGCCCGGCTTTAATAAGTTTTTATTGTGAAAATATTGTACAGAGGGGTTACAATCACATGAGCAAGGTGACAGATCTCAGCCTTCTGAGTAGCTGGGGGTTACAGACAGGTGTAAGCCACCAGTGCCTGGCCCCCAAAAACCTTTTAAACCTTTTTTAGTGCTGGGAATGTGGCTTAGTGGTAGAGTGCTTACATGAAGCCCTGGGTTCAATTCCTCAGTATCATGTAAACAGAAAACGCTGAAGGTGGAGCATGGCTCAAGTGTTACAGAGTGCTAGCTTTGAGTAAAAGTATCTCAGGGACAGTGCCCAGGCTCTGAGTTTAAGTCTCAGGACTGGAAAAAAATAAAAATAAAGAGCTTTTTTAGAGAAGATCTAAGTTTACTTCTGTAGAGCATTCTTTGTATCCTCCATTAAATATACTTTCAGAGGATGCTTCTGTTAAAGCAAAAGAAGCTAAATAATTCACCAGAATGCTAGAAGTTTTCAGGTGTGCTGATCACAGAGTTACAGCAAGTTTGTACTCCCTGCAAGCTTGAGACTCCAGGCCCTGGTTTTAGAAGAAAGCCAGGTGTGGCGATTCATGTCAGTACCCAGGAGGTTGAGGAAGCAGGATTGCGGTCCCACGCCTGAACCTCAGTTCGTGCTGAACTCCATACAGTGAGATGCCAAGCAACAGTGTTTTCTTCATGATAGTAATCCCTTGAGGTTACAGACTGTCTTGTGATCTTGGGACCATCTAGGCCATGTAAGCATCCCTGATGGCGTTTTTACAAGGATGAAATTACCAGATGATGCATTTCTCAAAACTCAATCTTGTCATTAAGCAATATGAACACAGTCTGTTGGTTGGCACCTGTGTTTGTGTCCTCCACTCCATTGTGCCTGAACATTCATCTTGTATATACTTTGGCTGGAACTTGAAGTTAGTGTGTGATGGGAAGTAGCTTGAAATTTTTTCCTTCACAATTTCATAAACTTTTTTTTTTGTCTGTCATGGGCCCTGAACTGTGGTCCTGGGCACTGTCTTTGCTCTTTTTGCTCAAGGCTGGTATTGTACCCCCTGTAGCCACAGCATCACTTCAGTTTTCTGGAGGTTAGTTGGAGATGAGAGTCTCACAAGCTTTTCTGCCCGGCTGACTTTGAACCGTGATCCTCAGATCTCAGCCTCCTGAGTAACTAGGATTACGGGCATGAGCCACTGGTGCCCGGCTGCAGCCTCTTTGAGTAGGTAGGATTACAGGCTTGAGCCACCAGCACCCAGCTCTTCTCTTTTTTTTTTTTTTTTTGGTCAGTCCTGGGACTTGAACTCTGGGCCTGGGCACTGTCCCTCAGCTCTTCAGCTCAAGGCAAGCGCTCTACCACATGAGCCAGAGCACCACTTCCAGTTTTCTGGTGGTTTATTGGAGAGAAGAGTTTCACAGTCTTTCTTGCCTTCTTTTTTTTTCTTTTTGGTCGGCTGTGGGGCTTGAACTCGACCTGGGCGCTGTCTCAGCTCTTCAGCTCAAGGCGAGCGCTCTACCACTTGAGCTACAGCGCCACTTCCGGTTTTCTGGTGGTTTATTGGAGATAGGAGTCTCACAGTCTCTCCTGCCAGGGCTGGCTTTGAAACGTGATCCTCAGATCTCAGCCTCCTGAGTAGCTAGGATTACAGGCGTGAGCCACCAGCCCCTGGCTTCTTGCCTTCTTTTTATAGACAAGGTTTTACTGTGTAGCCCAGTCAGGCTTTGAACTTAGTTTTCTCCTCAGCTGTCCAAGTACTGGGATTACAAGATGTACCACCATACCTGGCTCTACTTAGGTACGTTTGAGTTTACTGTCTCTTTAAGAAGACCGATCCAGTAGCAACAAATACTGCAGATTGAAATGAGGAAAGACAGGAGCACAGTCCGGAGACATGTGCTACGCCTAGAGTGACGCTAAAGGCCGTGAGGAAGGCCAGTAAAGCCCAGTAACTGAACCTGTAGAAAAGAGAAAATTGAAGTTGTGTCGGTTTAATTTATGGGATTAGAAAAATCATGGATGCTGAAACCACAGAGAACTGCTTTGGAAAGGAACTAGTATTGGCAAGGTTAAGTAATAGCTGTCTTGTATCCCTTTTGTGGTAAAGTAGCTTTTGAAATATAGAAGCAAAGTGTTGGGAAACTTTGGATACTTTGTTTCTTAGCACTTCCTCCTCAGCCTGAAAATGTTGGCTTCTGCTTCAGCCTTAGAGCACCCTACATTACCTGAAATTTAGGTTTTCTTGTCTATCCATGTATGATCACTTGTTGTTTTTTTGTTTGTTTTGTTTTTTGATCATGGGGCCTGGGCGCTGCCCCTCAGCTCTTCAGCTCAAGGCCAGCGCTCTACCACCTGAGCCACAGCGCCACTTCCAGCTTTTTTTTTCTGCTTTTGTGGTGCTGAGGAATCCAACCCAGGGCCTCATACATTCAAGGCAAGTGCTCTACCACTGAGCCATCCAGCCCTAAGAGAGTTGGTTTTTTTTTTTGTTTTGTTTTTTGGTTGGTCATGGGGCTTGAACTCTGGGCCTGGGCGCTGTCCCTCAGCTCTTCAGCTCAAGGCAAGCACTCTACCACTAGATCCACAGTGCCACTTCTGGTTTTTCTTGTGGTTTATTGGAGATAAGA